TTATTTTAACACGCCTTGGTCCTTTATGTCTGTAGCTGCGGCTGGTGTACTCTTTCTTTTCGCACCACATGTTATTAGTTTCACAATAAGTTAGTAATAATGTGATTTAAACTCGTCTTTGATGAAAATCGAACTTAAACATTTCATTTACAAGTGAAGAAGAATACCATCAGACCATAATCCTAGGTAAGTTTATTTTATGACAATAAACTTTTATATTTTATAAATTTTAGAAATTCAAATAATTTTAAATATTTGTGGCACCAAATTATTGGACATGCCAACAGAACTTTAACAAAAATTAACATCATGAATCGAATTAATGAGCAATAGTTAATTTCAGAAAATACATTAATTGATTTTGAAATTCAAGAACCCAAATAAAAAGTCATGTAAGTTTCAAAGACTATTTATGATAAAAACGTCATTTATATATAACTCATATGAGAAGTGTTTTAAAAAAAAAAATTTAAATCAATTCTTAGTAAAAATACAAATTAATCATGCAAAAACATTTGAAGGGGCTTTTGGATCGCAAAACATTTGCGATCGAACAGTCACAAGCGGTAGCGCTGGCGGAAGACTCTTAAGTCGCGTCACGAAAACAAAAGTCTGTCGTTTCCACGAAATTGCCCATTAGGCTCTTCTTCTCCTCAACAATTTTCTGTTCCAAATTGCTCTGAGCTTTTCTTCTTCTCTTTGCTTTCGCTAAGAGCAAGCCCAACGTGGGCTAAAGCTCGGGGGACAAGGGACAGAACAAGGGCCCGAGGCCCGGTGGATCAGCTCCAGCGTGGGCTAGCCCGAGTGAAGGTGGAGGCCCGAGCTCCGGGTCCGTGGGAAATTGCCAGCCCGAGAGCCTGAGGTCATGTGACGTCAGCGCTTAGCGTCAGGCAATATTTAATTTTTTTTTTGTGTTAGGCGCGTGCACCCCACTTACGCGTGGGGGCGCGTCGCCGACACAATCAGAAGAAAAAAAAACTTTGTCAGTTACCGTTGGGAAGCCACGTGGCTTCCCACGGTTCGTTAGATCTCAACGGTTATTTATTTTGGACCGTTTGATCTCAACGGTAAAAAAAAAATAAAAAAGTCTTATTTAATATCCACCGTTCGATCTGAGATCAACGGTGGATATTAATATTTTTTATAAATAAAAAAATAAAAGAAAAAATAGTTTTAAAATTAAGAAAAATTACCGTTGTGACACGTGGCACAATCTGGAGTGTTGGAATTCAAATTTTTTTATATCCAATGACAGAGATTAATTAATTGAATAAAAATTTAAAAAAAAATTGTAAAAAATTCAAAAAAAAAATCTGAAAACTCTGAAAAAAATTGTAAAAAAAATTGTTTTTACTTTTCTATAAATACCTTCTCATTATCATCTACCTTACACAACAATTTCATATTTTTTCAACTACTTTCAATCACATTCATTTCTTTGTCTCAAAGTTTGAATCCATTTTTTTTCAACAAAATGACCACTGGTGCATGTACGAATTGATCGCTTATTGAAGATGTTGCATTGTGTACTAGCTGGGTTGAAATTACTTATAGTTCGCTTACGGGTAATGAGATGCAGTTGCGAGAAATGTGGAGTCTTATTCATACCAATTATCTTGAGAAAATTGGTGGGCAAAGAACTAAAGAATCAATGTCCAGTCGTTGGAAATTACTTAGCCAATCGTTTAGTATGTGGAGAGACGCCTTGGCACAAGCTAGTAGTAATATTCGAAGTGGAAAAAATTACTCGAATCAGGTAACAATATATTATTTATTTGATACCCAAATTTACATTATAATTATTTATTTGTATTATTTATTTGTTACCTACATAATTTATTATTTATTGTTTGTATTATTTATTTGTTACCGACTTACATTATAATTATGTTGTTTGTATTATTTATTTGTTACTTATTTTCATTATAATTATTTATTTGTATTATTTATTTGTTACTTATTTCCGGAACGGCTGGGCCTGCAAATCTGAGCCATAGCTTGGATGACTCGACGGGAATGTGAGGTTCTGCCCATTCTTACTTCGTCATCTTTCCTTCTATGATCCTCATCCTCTTCCCTCTCATTTTTTGCCCCTGGTGATTGAACATTGCTTCTGATTGGTTAAACAATTCTTCCTCTTCCTGATTGAGTTCCCACATCATCCTTGAGGAAGAAGAAGACATTGTAAGAAATAAGCATAAACTATCAATAATGATACAGATTTTTGTGAAGAAAGAAGCAGAAACTATGAATAATGATAAAGATCTTGAGAAAATTGGTGTGAGATTTGTGATGATGGATAGTTGATTATATAGAAGATTAAAAAAGGATTAGGTTGTACATAATGCCACGTGGCATGTTGTCATTCGTTAAAAATCTTATGGAAATCTATCCTCAAAGATTGTGAACAAATTATGACACGTGGCATGTCGTCATTCGTTAAAAATCTGATGGAAATCTATCCTCAAAGATTGTGAACAGATTATGACACGTGACGCGACGTAATTGGTTAATAATCTTATCAGAAATCCATCACCAATAATTGTATTTTCGAATAATGACACGTGGCATAACGAGTACGATTAAAAAATTTATCAGAAATTCATCCCCAATAATTGTCTTTTCGGATTTTATGACACGTGGCGTAACGACAACGATTAAAAATCTTATCCGAAATTACAAATAAAATTATTTTGTATTATTTAATAATAATTCGGATAATGACACATGGCGCAACGAGAACGATTAAAAATCTTATCCGATATTACAATTAAAATTATTTTGTATTATTTTATAAATAAAAAAATACTAATATTTTATTGCCTATTGCCAGGGCTATTGAAGTGTAACGGTGGAGATGCAAATGCTATTGCCAGGGCTATTACTGTTCATTAAGGGCAGTTACTGTTCATTACTTGGATTGAATAGTGCATTGCCTGGGAGGGCTCCAACGCTGGAGTTGCTCTAATGGAGCTCTCTGGGACTTGAGGTGGTTTATATTTCTCTGATTAATTTTGTTAATTTCGTTTTTTCTTGGAATATTATTGATTGTAATTTGCTGATTAGTGGTAGTTTAATTTGCTGATTAAGTTTTGAGTGATAAATTTTATGTAAATTTTGAAAGGTTTTATGAATTGGGTTTTCTGGCATTTCATGCAAATTTGCCTAACCTGGAGAGACTCGATTTCACTCTGCAACGAAGAAATGCTATCCGAGTTTCCTTGAATTACTTCCTCCTTCACTTCTATAAGCTCATTCTTCTTTTTCAGTTCCTTAATCTTCTCACCGGCGTCTAATTCCTCGACATCAAAGAAACACAAACCACCAGCCAGGAAAACCCAAACAACACTTAAAATGCTCGAAATCAAATTCGACTAACATCGATGTTGTTTCTACTCACAAAGTAACTAAACAATTAAGCATCTTTATTGCTCTGACTAAAATTATAAAAATTGAAAAATCAAAGCTTTACAAGTAAGCACCAGAGCTCAGCTAATTGGCAGTATTATTTGGATGCCAAAAACATAAACACAAAATTATAAATGGAAAGAAATTAAAACACTTCCCAATTGAAAAACCAAGGGATCTCTAAATTTAGTAAAATCTGTTTGGATGGCGAGAAAACCGAGGGATAAAATCGAATCCACAAACATTTGAAAAATCACAAATTTCGTCCAATAAAGAATTCGCAGAAGACGATAGAAACGAACCTAGGGAGTGGATCTTAGCCCTGTGCTGATCCAACTCGATCTTCAGAGCGGACGGTTCAGGGCCGTCCGATCGGGGGAGCTTCACTGGCTCGTCTTCCTCCACCGGGACTGAAGCGTCAGCCCGAATCTGGGAGAGAATTAGGGCAAGAATGACTGAGAGAATCGCGAGCTTGGAGGCCGCCATAGGAGTATGCAATCACAGCCAACAAAACTCTCACAGCGACAGTTTTTCGAGTTTTTTTTTTTTTTTTTTTTTTTTTTTGAATTCGAGTTCGATTTCTTCCGACTACAATTATTACATTTCCTTCAAAAATGAATATAACCGTCAACTAATAAAGTATTTATCAAAAATTGTTTTTTTTTTCATTAAAATCTCAAAAAACAAAAAAAAAAAAAAAGAAGAGAAAAGTAATTAGTTAGAATTAAAATATTAATTCAAAACAAGATATTACTTTCATTTTTTACTTGAATTTTGAAAAAAGAAAAAGATTTTATTATTAGCAAAAAAAGAAAAAAAATATTTTATTCTAATTTAAAATTAAAATTGTATGTCACTTAATACTACGGTTTATGGTATTCTTTTTCACTTGTAAGCGTGAGGTCTTAGGTTCGATGCTCGTCAAAAGTGAATTTGAACTATATTATTGCTAGCCCATTGTAAGGCTTAGCCTATCTGCTTTTCCTTAATATAGATAATATCATTTGTTTAAAAAAATCAAAATTGTATAATTTAACAAAAAAAAACCCAACTAGCATATGCGTAGGCTAATAATAGAAATATTTAATGTGTTGCATTTGAAAGAGATGTAATTTCCACTTTTATATAAGTAAAAATTCGTTGAGTTGTTTAATTTTGAACTTTTTTAGGTGGAAAATTTGAATTTATTTTATTACAAAAACGTTATCAGAAATAAACAAACTATAGGCTCACCATAATTAAAAAAAAAAAAATATTTATGTTAACCCTTGATACAAAGGCAAATAGATGATATAAATTCCTCCACATACATGACTGTCAGTTTTATCAACAAAAGAAATCCTCTGTTGATGCCATGCTTGAAACAATAAAAGAATATCATAAAAAGTATATCAATGTGAGTTTCTGAAGAAGCGTAATTGAAGTGCTTTTTGCTGCAAAAAGTTGAGGTAGAAGATTGGATGTCTGATCCAAGACCTTCATTAAACTAGTTGATTTGTACGTGCAACCTTTGTTTTTTTGGTAAACTGGAAATCTATTTCAGGACAAAGATGCCAAGACGAACAAAGAGAGCCTACAGCGAGGCAAGCACGAAGTTAAACAAGCAATAAACTAAAACAGGGGGTTTTACATCAAAGAGGACGCTGCAACAATGCAAAAGCATCGCCCCCTGCCGATACAAAAAAACTTAATGAGGAGAAGGTAAATCATTGTTGTTCAGAACATGCACCAACGAAGATGGGTTCTGATCGACCCAAATAACATTGCACATACAACTTTTCGACTGTTTGGCAGGTACTAAAGAAAAGGTGGTGCTGACGATTTAACGAGTGGAATCCAAAGGAATTTTAGGTTATTCACTGGAATTCAAAAGGAATTCTCTGTTGATGGCTTGCTTGAAATAGCAATAGAACTAGAAAATATGCCCACGCTTTGCTACGGGACCTTGAATGCACCAGCCTGAAGTGCATGAATAAGACACATTTAACCTGAATAAATTAAACATAATCCTGAAAGAATAGAGGGATAGATAAGTGACACATTTTCTTGATTTTTCTTGTAAAACTCAAAGCTTACTGTCCAAAACCAAATAATTTGTACCATTTACATGTTTGTGCAACATATGCCTTACACTGGAAAAACATCAAAAATCGAATACAAATTTGTAAATCATTGACAGATTTTGTTTTACATTTTTATAATCAAATCAAGTGGCAGTGTAACACGCAAAATTACAAACTTGAAGTAAGCACAGAGAGCAGAAATTAAGATGTAGAAATATCCTCAAACTTGCAACATACTGTATGGAAGCTAACTGTAGAGGTTTGTGAAGCAAACCGCAGCATGAGTTGCAGTCAATTGAACAAAAACATAGTAGTTGAAGTAAAAAATGCATGATGAAATGGATTCATAGTTTTCATGCATGACACAACCTTGTATTATTCCATAAGTCAACTTAATATCATTCCACAAAGTGAAATTATAATGCTTACTTGTCGCAGAGAGGGCAATGCCACAATGAAGGCATATGGCGAAACATAGTAACCTGTAGCATTCATTGCACTTTGTAGCCGATATGATTTTGCCTATTTGATGGCATTTGCTAACACAAAAAAGACCACAAAAGGGATGCCAAGTCTACTTTGATTCTTATGTCATGCAATAAATAGAACAGATAGATGATGTTTTCCATATCAATAGCATACCAAGAAATGTAAAGGACACAACACAGTAGCTTACTAATTCAAAAGATTAAATGAACTATAAATAGACTAGTGGTTAATTGAACAAATTCAATACAACTGAATCACATTCTAATTTTACGCTAAGCACTATATTGCCAAGAAAAGTGCTCATATTGGTGTGAATGTTAGAAAAATGAGTTAGCACTATCCACTGCTCATTTTGCTAAATGAAACGCCTAGAATCTATTCATTTCAAGTAAGTAAAAATCCAAAACAGGGAGATGGAGATATCGGACGTTGAAAAGTGATTAAATTGTCATCTTAACAATCGATTTAACCTATGTACACCTACAGGTATCAAATTCGATCTTAGATAAAAATAAAGCTACTAATGAGATAACTGATTCCTAGTGTGAGTCATCACTTCAACTTTTTATGGCAATGATTACTTAAAGTTCTCATGCATACTCAATTGATCAATAATATCGACAATATATCCATCATTTCAGAAGGGTCATTACTGAAGGTCTTGATAAGCATTCTGAGAAGAAACCATTATAGTATCTGTGCATAGTATATGTATTTGTGGGTGTTTATCTGAGTCCATCATTCATTTGTGCTATGAGTATTTAGGAGTGTAAGTTCGTGTGTACTTGCCAAAAAAATATGATTTTTACTTTCAGTCGATCAAATAAAAATTTATTCAAATATAACACTACTTGGTTTTGAGACTCCTAGTATTGGCAGATTAAAAAAAAAAAAAAAAAAAAAGACTCCTAGTTTTCTCCCAATGTTAAGATTTAATAGTCATTTTTGCTTGGCTTAATGATAATTTCTATCAATTGATCATTGGTCTAACGAATCTCCACATTCGTTGCAACCCCCAAGGTAAACTACCCCTGCTGGCGGATACAAAGACCATAATAAACATGGTTTTAAATATTAGTCTCATCTATGATATATTTGGTACTGTCATAGATAGAGAGATTAATAAAAGACCTCTCGCAATGTTACTGTGTCATAGTAATAATTTATATTACTTCTTTTATTATAACCAAACCTATACCAGTTTGTAATATTCAACCAACTTTAAACATTTTGGATTAGAACACGGGCAAATGAAAAAAATAAGTTAATGCAAAATCTTTAGTACCTCAACTTGCAAAATATTTGCAATATATTGAGATCTATCACAAACAAAACAATGTCGAAACCAAAGCTACTAACTCCCAACACAATCAAAACTACATATAGGAAAAAAGAAATGAAGCTTAAGAAACTAAATTAGGGAAAAGAGTTGGAGAAGCAACAACTGACATTATTTACCAAGGCTTTTCAAGGTTGGCAATATAATGGATATGCTTCCAAAGAGCTTCAACTAAAGCTTGATAAATTGTTGAAATGGGTTGGAGCATAAATTTAAACTAAAACCCACAAATTTAAACGAAAAACTCTATAAAATCATGAAAAATTTAATAAAATCCAAGTATTTTAATCACAAATTCGATCATACAAATCTTCACATCCAATAAGTCTAGAAGGTACCTAGCTTCGTTGCAAAATCGTATCTATACATGCCAAAGCTCAAATTTCCTTGCAGCTGCCTTGATTCGATAAGTCCTGATTCAAGCAGACTTGAAAAAAGGTTTTTAAAAATAGGAACAATATTGATAACAAATAAGTTGGAAAACGTTTGCAAACAAAAGTTATTGCAAGAAGCTCAAGCATTTTCTATAAAACTACTTTTACTAAATAGTTGGTAATGATTTCAAATGCTTGACCAAGAAACTAAAAGAGACGTTGCACAAAGAAATTATACATATTTGAAAAGAACTGAACCGATTGAAAAATTTTGATGGAAAAAACTGATGACAGGATTTTAGGCATCAATATTTCTTAAACCTAAAATGTTACAAAAATTTTACATAAAAAATGTTTCATCGATACAGCTTACAATTTTTTGTATTTGCATGTATTATGTTTAAGAAATGATATATATTACCTAAGTTTCATAAGACAAAAACTTCAGAACTTCATTCATTTTATAAAATAGAATAAAAAACATGACTTAAACTTTTAAGGCACACTCCAATGTTGATATCAAGTTGATAGTGGGTTGATTTGTGGCTACCAACTGTAAATGAAAAATGTAAATGTAAATGTTAAGTTATGTTACATGTTTAATTGTTTGGTAAATGCTAAGTTATGTTATTATGTATGATGGCTTGCCAAAGACTGAATAAAAAAATAAACAGTGAAGAGTTAAAACTCAAAGTTGAAATTCCATCTTCTATGTCCAACTCACCTTTCTTAATCTTTTCTGAAGAAATAAACAGAACTTTTCTTGTACTCTTCTTTAACCACTGCACTGAAAAATAAACACACATTGCTGTTTAAATATTAAAACTGAAGACCTTTAAATTCATACGTTATCCAAAACTTAATAAGCTAGTCCAAATAACATTCATCACGACAATAGCACTAAAATTAAGCTGTTTTGTTTCTGAACAATTTCTTAGCAATCAATTGGAGGAAATCTGTGTTAAGCTAAGCAGGCAGTGGTGGTTGATTTATGTTCTTTAAATTTATAATTTTTTTAACATGTGAATTGATCATTACTTTTTTAATTTGCTTTGGAAATGCGGTCAGATCATGTTGTCTGAAACAATTGTTAACATGTTATTGTAGAATATATTATAGCAAGGAGTAAGCAATTTAACACTCGAAAACCTGCAAGCCAGTGGCTCCAAGACGAAAAAACCTATATAAACCCAAATCAACTAAGTTACAAAACAACTAAATATGCAAACAACATCAGAGTCTGCAGTGATCTAGTTTTTTATTTTGTAATTAAATTTAATCTCAATTTTTTGCCCAACAATGGAACCATCAGAGGTTGTACAGCAATAGTGCACAACAGTTTAGTAAACACCATAAGAGAATGGGGATAAATTGAATATTAATACATACACATCTATCAGAATAGTAAAACTAAAAGAAACTAAACATGTAACATAATTCACACCAATAAACCATCATTCAATTTGAATTTTGAAGTAATCTGTCCATATTGCCTTAAACTATTTAACCAAAAGAGAACAAATTTACTGGAAAAATTCTAATTTTTCCTAATATGTTAGTGGAGAACAATTTCTTACATGTTTCAATATATCCACAAAAATGGTTCTTTTTCCTTATGAATCTGACATGGACACCTGCAACTCCCCTATAGAAATAAAAAAACAACCTGAAAAATTAAAAGAAAATGATTAGACCCAATACTCTCTGATGAATTCCAACATATTGAATACGGGTTTAGATAAATAGGCAGAAATAAAAAAAATGCATTCAAATACATGAACAAAAGATATTAAAACAACAAAAAATCAAGAGAAATCAACTTTGCAGTAAACTCTAGATCCCAAAACAAAAAAATTATTCCTTAGCTAGCCACCACTCTCAAAATTCCTCAATCCCTTATATCTCACAAAGAGAAACACATGCATGTCCATTTCAGCTCTTAAAACTGAAAGAAATGTTACGGTTTCTTAGTTTCTTACCCAAATCCACCAATTTGAATCAAACCTTTGCAACACAGATGTGAAACAGATACACAAAACACCAACATTACAACGGTTTTTTTTTTTTTTCATTTAAAGCATTGCATAACTGAGAAAGCTATATTTCTAAGAAAGATTAAAACCTTTTTACAAAACACACTGAAAAACCTCACATTTATAAAGACTGGAAGTTTTTCCTCTAATTTGGTTTCCTTTATCTGTTTAAAGTTAATTTCCTCTCTTTGTTTTACAACTGTACTTACACAAATTTACAACGATATTTACAACTCTTTTGAAAGAATCACATACTCAACAAAAATTTGAACCCATAAATTCGAAATTAGCAATGTTATTCTTACCCCCCAAAGACATTCCAAGTCTTAATGGTTACATTCGTTAGTGAAGAAAGCTACACCACTCAAATGACAAAGATTAATAACCAGATACCCATCCATTTTCTAAAGTGACCTGAATGATTCCTTCTCTGATAAAAAAAAATTATGGCCTCTGCTCAATTTAAACAACGTCAACATCAAATTACAACACTGTAGATCGAAATGATGTTTGACACCAAAGAATATTAACGTATACGATAACGTTATACTTAGTTAATTTGTAAAATGATAATAACTTATTCTAATAACCTTAACATTATACTCAGTATGCTTTGTAACAATCCGAATTTCAATATAGCCCTAATTAAGGAGTGTCTAATAACATTAAATAAAATTATTACTAATAACGTTAAGGATATATGCTCAGTAAAATGATTTTAATAATCTTAAGATTAATTTTTATTCTAATAATGTTATTGGTTTATAAATAACGTTAATGAAGATTCTTGTTTTTGGCGTGTGTCAATGAATATTGTTTTGTTACTTCATTTTATTACTTTACATTATTAGTTAAATTTAAATACATAATGTTATGATAAAATGATGACTTAAACTTAACGTTATTGATAACAGCATACTAAGTTTCAAAAAACAACATTGAACTTAACTAAGTTTGATCTGAGGATTATGTTGAATGTAAATCATGGATCTATGCTCTAATCTGTGCATGATACACAGCATACACATTTTAAAATAAACAATAACAATCACAAAAGAACCAACAGAGTGATGGCATAAAAATCTGAAGCATGTGGCATCAGCTATCAATGAAGAAAAATCAGATGCATTATGTATTGTAGAGGAATAGATAACTGAGAATTCCATTCACAGAGTCACCATCAGAACAACAAAGAATAGATGCATGAACAAAAACATGCATAACACAGTGTGTTTTTTGCAGAGAGGTTGTAACACTGAAAAAGCAGCAGAGCAAGAGGAAAAAGAGGAGAGCAAGATGGTAGCCAAAAGAGAAAACCAGAGTTATCAAATAGCAATCAGCACAAAATATCTTCTTAGGTCTCCTAATTTAATAATTTAGACTCAAAATAAATTCCATCAGATGTCTTTCAAGATCCATGTTTTGAGAAAGATGGTATTGTCCAAGGAGAGCGGGACTTTTCCTTTCTAAAAAAAGGAAGCCAACAGCAATCATGAATAAAAGTGGGTAGAGAGTATAAAATTCTACTTGTCTTTTCTTGTGGCTTTGGTGGCTTTGCCAAATGGGCCAAATGGGTTTTTTTTTTTTTTTTTTTTTTGTTGTTTAAGGCAATGGACGGCAGCAGAAAAGGGGGAGAGCAGACAAGCAGCAGATAAGCTGCAGAAAAGCAAGAAAAAAGAAGCAGAAATTATGCAGAAAAGCAAGAAATAATCAAATTGGACTCGAACTTACCAATTTTTTATTCAAATAAACTAAAAAAAGGAGTTGGAATCAAACTAAACCTGAAAAATATCATATATCCAATATTAAGTGTACACACCTATAAATTAATCTTTATATATACTTTAAAATAATACAGATCAATGTAATCTAAAATGTTATTATATTCATTACGGCAATACCAAATTGTAAAGTTAACTCTTAAAAGTAAGGCCTATGGAAGACATCTGTATTATATAGCAACTTCATTTCCATCAGAGAGTACACATCATTGAACAAACTAAGAAGATACCTGTTGTAAATCGAGCAGCTTCCTCTCAAGATCTCTAACAGCATCATGTGGCTCTTGAATTTCGGCCAGAGCGTCCATTATCTACAATTTGATACACAATTTTGGAAATGATCAATCTTAATCAGAAAATTAAGTGTTTGAACAACCCAAGCTAGAAGAGTTAGGAGCTTAAAATTAATTGTTCAAGATGTCAAAAAATGTGTCAAGTTTGTGAGAGAATGCACAATTTCAACAGTAAAAAGTGCTTATTTGGGGGCAGAGAATAAAAAAGGATATTTAACAAACCTGGCCTCCCCCTTGTTCTTGGATTGCCTTCTGGAAAATTTGTTCAGTGTCTCTTGTCTCGATTAATCTTTCAATTGTCTGTACAAAGTTATATAATTAGAAAATGAGCTTTCACAGTGGTATAGAATCTATAGATATACCATAATTTCAACAGTGCAATAAGTTTTACCTCTTCATCAGCTCTTGTGCCCATCACTGACATTCACAAAATGCAAGAGAAATAAACTATAAAATCAGATCATGGAAATTCAAGTAGAAGCTCCAGAAATAGCAACCACTGATGAGTGGCAAGTGAGGGGTTCAAACCTGTAAAAACTTGCCTCTCAACAACATCACGATACTCTTGATGGATGGTGTCCCTTAGAGTCTGCATGTTTTAAGTTCAAAATTTAGCGATGAAGGAAACAAAGATTATGAGATTAAAACAAAACTGACCAAAAAGCATACAGACCCGGCGACTTAAAAATCGATTCTAATAAAATTGAAAACCCAGTCATTCTGGCAGTCACCATACCACTGAGAAAACATCAAAAACCAAAATCAGATGCCAAAAATCAATAAAAATAAAATACGAGTTTTATTAATCGGGTAGTGAATCGATAAAATAGCACGAATGCTGGTTCAAAAAAAAAAAAAAAATGAAAACCTTGATACCAAAGGACTGCAAAGGATTGTTTCATAGAAAGTAAAAGAATAAATTGAATCAACTGAACATGCTTCTTGCCAACCAACAAAGTAAAACACAGGGAAACAACCATTTCTTTTATCCCATTTGTCCAACACCACCCGCATTTCAAACAAAAAGGAAGAGTTTAATAACTAATAACTTCAGGCACTTTCCAATTGTCAGCGAGCATGATAAAGACCATGGATAATATATTGTGTTCATTTACCTGCCATCTTAAGTGACCAGAAACTGAAAATTTCTTATCAAATGTGTTAATGCTGCAATATATAGGATGACGGGGAAAATTCCAGTGAAGATTCGTTGAGGAAATTGACAGTGTCACTACTCGCCTTTGGAAAGATGTCTTTTCTGGAAACCCCTTCAAAGTGTTTAGGATCCGAAAACTTGTAATCGATTAGAGTGTGCCGATTAGGGTGATTTGCTATCTAGGACTCACTTGGGAGTTGGGAGCGAAGTTATAAGTCGCAAGCTCTTGAAATGCAGTAATGAATTTGGATAGTATTGGACATGGAAGAAAATATCACATGCACAGCACGCTACAGCGACCATAAGAAGAAGAAGAAGAGCAAAAACCATGAATCGAACTCAAAAAAGAAATCATCCAAATAACATCTCAAACCAGAACCCAAATCAAATGCACCAAATCTCACATCAAAAAATAAATTGTACAAATTGACATATTGGTAGAAACCCAACAGAGATTTTAGAGAGAGAGAGAGAGAGAGAGAGAGAGAGAGAGAGAGAGAGAGAGAGAGTACCAGAGGGAGTGAGATATGGTTGTACCTGGAAGCCAAAAATAAATTATATAAATTGACCTTAACATTTGTTGACTCTAACAAACTGATACATAATAACAGTTGTTTAGGATATAGATATGGGTGTACCTGGAAAGATTAAAATTCACCATGCAAGCCGTATTCGTGGAGGACTTGCTCTAGTTCTTCCATAGTGATATACCTGAAAATCAGAATGCATTTTGGCAACATTGTTATAAATAAGATGTTGAAATTTAAGAGCATTATGTATAAGATATTAAAAAAAAAAATTTTAAAAAAACCCCATCTATTATGATCTCTGCATACCCTGGCTGTCTCGTAGGAGAAGCCGATGAACAGTGGCAGTAGAATCAAGCAACCAAGTTATGAAATACGAATTTAAAATGTACCTATTTACTGTGTCTGTAATGAATCTGTGAAATCAAATAGCTTAACCCTAAAAAGCACCACTGCAAATAGCATAAGAAAATTGAAATTAACCCTAAAGAAATTGGAAGAGAAGAATATGAAAAGGGAATACCTTTCGGCCCTTTGAGTTATTGGAAAAAAAACCCAACAGAGCAAAAGCCTCCAACACCAAAGACTGTTGTGGGATTATACTTAAAATAACAACTAATCAAATAGAACAAAAAAAATATGGAGGAATCATATCAGTCACACTTACCAAGTATTGAAAGATATCATTTCGAGCAACAAAGTCAGTCTCACAGTTAAGTTCAATAATAGCAGCCCTGTTTTCATTCTGAGCCAGAGCCAGCAAGCCTTCAGCAGCCATCCGAGATGACTTTTTCGACGCCAAAACCTTCCCTCTCCTCCTCAATTCCTTCTGAGCAGCCTCTGCATTTCATTAAAGAAACCAACTTTGATAAGGATTAAAATATATATATATACAAAAATTAAAAGAGCCATGTTCAAAAGAGTTTTCTAATTATCTCGAGGAGAGGAGGTCACCCAACATGACCAAAAGCAATATTTCTTTTACTACAGCTATTAAACATCAATTTCCATCTGACAACAAAGCTTAAATTACATGGATAATATTTATGGTTATAAACTGAGAACACAACCTGACGTGATCCATGATAATGCACTAATTTGAAGAGCAACCACACAGGCATGGTTATATTCTCTCTCCCTGTTCACAGACAAAAATACAAAAGGGGGTTTAAGAGGTGTACCTGTAGTGAGTGAGTGAGTGAGTGAGTGAGTGAGTGGGCGAGTGATGCTGCGACTGTGAGAGGCTGAGAAGAACACGGAGATGGGATCGAAGAAGATCAAAGATCTGCAGCAATGGCGCTGAGATGCCCACTCCTCCCTTTCCTTCTCTCCGTGTCGCTCTGTCTCTGTCTCCCTCTCTCCCTCTCCCTCTCCCATCTCTATCTCCATCAGCATGGCCTCCCAATTGCGAAACCCTCAGCGAGCGATCCTTACTCCTCCCTCTCCCACTCTCTCTTTCGCGCTGTCTCCCTCGAATCGTACACCCCTGTGACTCTGTCTGCCTGCAAGCCGCATGCCTTCCTCTCACCAAATCCCTATCTCTCTCCCTCCGTGTCTCTCTTCTCTCTCTGCTCGCTCGGTCTCTCTCCCGACGGCATGCTCTCACCGAGTCCCACTGCAGCTCAGAAAGAAAGGAAATGAAAGTCTCTAACCCACCCAACCCGTTCGAAACCCTACAGACTAAAATGACCATCGCACCCCTGCCTTTCCACGATCATCAACACGCGACATGAAGATCAGCGGCAGAAAGATTCAGTGGCAGCCTCGTAAATAAACTGAAATTCAGGTACAATGAACAGTCAAGAACTATGCCAATTGCAATGCTTTCTTTAGACTAAAGTAACATCATTGAAAATGCCATTATTAGTTTTCGAAAAATCATAAATTGAGGTATTTTTTGTGGCAAAAAGTCAAAAGAAATAAGTTTTTTAGTGCAAGACCTTCAATCTGTTGAGTTATATTATATTTTTTTGATCGTTTGACAAATACTAACAAAAGGACAGTATTGGTGATTAATAAAGTGAACCAAGTTTTCTAGAACGATGTTAAAAAAAGATGATGGCATATGCTTGAAACTTTGAAAGAGCAATAGAATATGATCGAAAGTTAATCGTTAGTTTTTGAAAGGGCATATATTGAATTATATGTTTGCTTGAAAAAGTCGGTGTAGATGATTAAATAAAGGAATCATCTAAGAACATTGTATAATTTGGTGCCGCGTGCATTACATAAAAATAAATTTTAGAACAACAAATAATTTTAAATATTTTAATATAATACATGCGGCATCAAATTATTGGACATATCAACATAACATTTAGCAAGTCATTTAGTACTACAGTCTAGTAGTATTCCTCTTCACTGGTAAGTGACAAGCCTTAGGTTCTATTATCGTCAAAGGTGCATTTGAACCACATTATTGCTAGCATATTCTAATGTTTAGCCCACTTTTCACCTCATTAGTGTAGATAATATCGTTTATTAAAAAAAAAAACATTTAGCAAAAATTAACATCATGAATTAAATTAATGTGCGGTAGTTAATTTCAAAGATCAATTTTGAAATTCAGATATCAAAATAATGAGTCATGTAAATTCAACAGCCATTTATGATCGAAACCCCACTTATATACAATGATATTGATATGTAGTTTGTTGGTTATATTCCGAATACACTAAAAGATAAACTAGAACACACCTTTCAACTGAAAAATAAATTTAAACACACCTTTCAACGACATAAGTAAAAGCTGCCCACACTACACACCACTACATGGCCTTTGTTCCTAGGGTTGAAGGGAGTCTATTGGTGGTGGTGATCGATAGTAATTGTTGTTGAAATCACCAAAAAAAATGAGAAAATCGCCAAAAAACTGTGGAATTTGTGGGTTCGTTTTGTAAAATTGGGTTGGAAATTGAGAAATATAATACCACAGAGATGTTGGGCTTGCCGAGAGCTTTCCATAGACACTAAAATCACCTCAATCGGACGTTCGACGGAGGAGATACAACCAGGTCAAGAAACCAGGTCAAGGTTTGAAATCGGATCAAAAAGACAAAGTCTTGGTTAGGTGTTTCCCTCTCATTTCCTTCCCTGTTATTTTTTCTGATTGGTTCCCTCTTTTTTTTCTCTTCGCCCATCTCATAGGCTGACCTCCCTCCTTTTTTATTTCCCCTTTACTTTTCATCACAGTCGTCCATCCTTCTCCTTTTTTTTTTTTTTTTCCTTTCCATCCTAGCCACACACGTGGCACAATCCCAATGCTCTAGAAAATCTGAAGCACCCTAGAGAACGTTAAAATTACAAAAATGCCCCTGATTTAAAATGCTAATAACTCATTCATTATAACTCCGTTTCACGAACGATTTGCGCCTATACGTTCATGAGATTTAGCTCTATTCGAAAATATAAATTGTGATCTCGAAAGGTCTACGGATTTTAAATAATTAATTTCCAAACTTCGAACTTCGCATTAGTTTAATTTAAAATCTAAATTCAATTAAACTAATATAAATTCTCAAAAATAATAAAAAATCTTGTTAATCCAAAAACGTAGTTTACAATAGTGAAATCTAGGAATAGGATTTCATAGATTGTGCAATTTCCAACCCAACAAAGCCATTGACAAAACGCTCTGACGAGACATGACCAACATACATAAACAGGTCACATTTCATTGACAAAATTGAGCAGACGGAACCATCCCACATACACTGGTAGGTACAAAGACTACTTCTGCTCCAACAAATGCAATAACTCAACCTAATGGCACACTGGGGGCAGATGAGTATCAGAAGGACACACCAGCCCAAATTATGGGCATGTCTTGTTCAGGTCACTCTGGACTATTCAATACTGGAGCAGCACATCACCAGTAGTTGAGCATCGCTGACTTAGTGGTCCAATTCCTCCAACTGCGCACAACCTGGCCCAAGAAGGCCCTAGCTCCGCGCTCACAATCGTGCCTACCTACTCCACGGTTCTCAGTAACCCTTAATTTGTGACCATGGCTCCCAACCGTCCTGATCTTGCACCACATCTCCCAGTTGTGCCACTTAGCGACTCATATCTGCGCCGACCAAGTCCACGACACTTCAAGCTTCAAAGCATCCAACGACGAAGCAGAATACGAGGCCTTACTAGCAGCCTCTCCTAACGAAAGACTTAGCGGTGAAGCTTGCAATCCATTCAGATTCTCAGCTGATCACCAATCAAGCTTCAAGAGAACACACGACGAAAACATCTAACGATGGTGCAATTACTTATGGTATACTTAAATAGGCTTTGGAGGCGATTTATTTCCCTTTCCTAGAAAAATCTAATTCCAAGTCCAAGTGGGAATCTACATCAAAGTTAGAGATCTCTACACCTGCTGCTCTTTCTTGCGAGCAATCTAAATAGGCCCAACCCCTATTTGACCATATATCAAAGTTGGAATCACATAATATCTTGCAATTACTCTCACAATTCGACCATATGTGGCCGGCCCCTATTCTCCAAATAGGGCCGGTCACTCCCCTATAAATAGCCATGCTTTCCCACTAAAAGGAAAAAAATCAATTGTCTCCCCAAAAATTCCTAAACACTCTCTCTCAAATTCTAATTTTGGCATTGGAGATTCTTCGGCCAAAATCCCCCCCCCCCCAATATTCATGAATTAAATTAATGTGCGGTAGTCAATTGCAAAGATCAATTTTGAAATTCAGATATCAAAATAATGAGTCATGTAAATTCAATAGCCATTTATGATCGAAACCCCACTTATATACAATGATATTGTTATGTAGTTTCTCGGTTATATTCCGAATACACTAAAAGATAAACTAGAACACACCTTTCAACTGAAAAATAAACTAAAACACACCTTTCAACGACATAAGTAAAAGCTGCCCACACTACACACCACCAACTCGTAGACTTATCTTAACGTTTAACTAGTGCATCACTGTTTCAAACATTTTACACAGAGGATTCAATCATACACAGAAAAAGGACATGTGAACAATGCCAGTAGCAGCTTACTTCTCTGGATGGCCCCTTTTAGCCTTACGACGCGCACGGTTGGTACCTGGAACAGGTTTTTTAGCGTTTGTACTGCATAACGATGCACAAAGTCGCAATCAGCAAACAGAAATATGTTAGTATTACTTTTCGTTTAGAGAATGCGGTGTGCATGCATAAGCACGTATAAGTAATTAACCTGAAAAGTCAGGAGAAAGTTCTGAACCAGAATTATAATGAGCAGGGCCAACAAAGCCGAGGCCTGCAACATTTTAATTGCGACTAAATAAGGAGATCAAAAATAAAATTCAAAGAAAGAAAACAGAACAAACAAAAAAATGCAAGATTGGTTTCATTACACGCACCGCAAACCACTCCAACTCCTTTGTAGCAAGAGGTCTTGTCAGTTCATGCCTCTTCAGCAAATCTTTTACTGTACCTTGAACCTTGAAGAAATATGGATTAAAAAATTTAATAAACTACTATAGGTGGTTCGCTGAATGGCTTAGGCTACGGGTGCATCCACCAGGGCAAGAACATCAAAAGGAATAAAAAGTAAACCGAAATTCATTCACAACATGCAGTCACAGTCTTCAACAGCAAGTAACATATGTACTGTAGACTGTTCAATGCGGTCACTATAAGATAGCAGATCAAACATATATGTCATCTTATGTTACGATGAATTGACTGGTCAAAGCAGTTGATAAGTATCGTCATCAAATGGAGAAGAATAAAAAATGGAAAACGAAGGAATAATAAACGAACTTGTAGCAATCAACCATTGAAGTCATTTGTATCTGACAGTAGCATGGACTACTAGAATTTGAAGGACCTAGTCAGTTATTGAAGGACAACAATACTCAGTAAATTAAGCATAAACTTGCAAAAGAGAAAATTGTAGAAGTGAGGTATAATGTTCTTCAAGTGGCCATACAGCAATTAATTGTACCTTCTGAATCTAACCACCACACTACTTCGAATACCATATATAACATAAGGGAAAGATGTGTGAAACCATATGATATATAGAGACCAGTAAAAAGAAAAGCATATGTGCGAATTGAAAAAAAATAAGCAAACCAAGCTTTCGCATCACTTTCAGATTCAACTGAACCATGACGGATGAGTTATCTAAATTACTGAAGACGATTGCAAAAATGAACTTTAAATAACCTTAATTATATGACAGGCTTAAACAACACCTTCAAATCCTATGTTCTTAAGAAACTCACTTGACGGATTTTTCTGAATTTACAACTACCTCAGAAAGAATATAGACAAACATTGGGAGACAGTTAAAATGACAAAATAATGAATAAATAAAAAAATTCACATTCTCTATTTTTGAAAACAAATCATTGATCTTCTTCTCGGCTTCATTTACCCGGTCTTTCAAGTCCCCCTTCTCATTACGTTGCGATTCCTTTTGAAGTTTGTTAACTTGCATAGAATGAACCTTAATTCCATGACAAGATTAAACAAAACCTTCAAATTCTATGTTCTTAAGAAACTTACTTGGCCGATTTTTCAGAACTTACAACTACCTCAGAAAGAATATAGACAAACATTGGGAGACGAATACAATGTGAGAGAGAGAATTCATGCAACGTAATACCTCATTTAACTCTTTTTCCTTTAGAGTAGCTTCAAACTTTGCCTTCCACATTTCCACCTGAAGACAAATTTAGAAACATAGATTGAGCATAAGCACCAACCCCCATCTAGAAAAATACGGTTCCGCAGAGACTTAAAAATTACCTCAGCCACTTTAACTTCAAGAGCATGGTCAGTTTTATGCATTTTGGTCTCCTGCTCATCATTAGCCTTCCCAGTCTGTAAAAAGATCATCAAACATCATTTCACTATCCCCGCGGGATAAAATTAAGCTAAATTCCAAGTAGCATTACAACTACTAGTATAAAATGATATGAAAGAAAAAGAAAAAAGAAGCAGACTTCTTTGTTCAGCAATCAGCAATGTATGGAAGTCAAGATAGTAATAATAAAAAAAAAACACCAGAGCACCCCAATTGTGTCAAACATTGGTGCTAAAGAAGGATGTCAGCTTACATTCTATACAAAAGACATTCACATCAAAAACTTATTTCAGGGGAAATGAACAGAGGACTCATCACAAAAAGGACATAAAACGAATCGACAATATCTATAAAATCACAAAAATACAAACCAAAACAAAACAGTGATTGACAGAGTTGAGTTAAATAAGACAACTTTTAGCATCCTTTTTATTCCCGTACTATCATTCTTTACTGAACACTTAAATCCAATGCAAAACAAGGTTCTGTTCTTATAATCAGAGTCACTAAGGACTTTCACTATGAGCACATTCAACTACAAAATACCTTTTCTTCCAAATGAGAAAAAATAACTTACATTCTCTATTTCTGAAAGCAAATTATTGATCTTCTCCTCAGCTTCATTTACCCGGGATTCCAAGTCCTCTTGCTCCTTACGTTGTGATTGTAATTTCTGTTCAAGTTCCTTAACCTGCATAGGAGAATGAATTGACAATTCAGTAGTATTCTCATTTTTTTTGGCAACATGAATGTAGTGGTTTTCACGTACTAAAATAGTCCACTTCATTGTGTCTAACCTTTTTCTCTAGTTCATCGGCACGGTCTTGAGCCTTCACAACCTGCTGCTCAACTAATGACCCGTTTTTCTAATATATAGAACGTAGATAGAAATCAATATGCAGATAAACTAACTGTCATTCGAAAAACAGATTGGGTAATTGGGATTTTGGCAATTGATGCAAATATGCCTAACCTGGAGAGACTCGATTTTACTCCACAAGGAAGAAATGCTATCCGACTCCTTTTGAATTCCTTTATTGCTATGCTCATTCTTTTGTTCCTTATTCTTCTCGCCACGGTTGGATTCTTCAACATTAAAGTAACACACAGAGTCAGCCAGGAAAACCCAAACAGCACTCAAAAACACTTTAAAATACTCGAAAATTTTTAACTAATATCGATGTTTCTACTCACAAAGTAACTAAACAATTAAGCATCGTTATTGGTCTGATTAAAATTATAAAAACTGAAGAATCAAAGCTGTACAAGTAAGCATCAGAGCTCAGCTAATTGGCAGTATTACTTACCTTCCAAAACATAAACACAGAATTATAAATGGAAAGAATTACAAACACTTCCCAATTGAAAAACCAAAGGATCTCCAACTTTAGTAACATGTGTTTGGATGGCGAGAAAACAGAGGGGAAAAACGTTATGAACTCAAAAAAGAATGGATTTGTGATTGCCTTAATCACCAATTCGAGAGTTAATTGAAGGTTTTAAGCTTTAGTTTTATTGTGAAGGATTGTTAAACATGCCAGGCATTAAACAGTATAGTAACTGTATAAAGGAGCCCAGCTCCCAGAAAAGTAATAGATCAGTTTTACATACGAAATCATGAATACCAAAATTATCGGAGCTCTGCTCCTCTCTTCCTTCCTTCCCTGTTCTTCCATCTGTAGTAGTTAAGGTTGAGTAGGGTTGAGATTTGGGTCCTAACAAAATATTGGTCGAGAAATCACAAATTTCATCCAATAAACCCTAGAATTCACAGAGACGATAAAAACGACCTGGCATTATACTGAGCGCTTCCTTTGCTTCCTCCGGAAGACGCCCTCCCATGTGTGGACTACGATGAGTTTGAGCCTCAACCCTAATCTGGGAGAAAATTAGGGCAAGAAAGATTGAGAGAATCGCGAGCTTGGAGGGCGCCATGGAGCATGCAATCACAGCCAACGAAATTCTCACACCGACGGTTTTTCGAGGTTTTTTTGTTTTTGTTTTTTTTGTTTTTTGGAAGTTCGAGTTCGATTTCTTCCGTCTACAAATGTTGAAGCCACTCAATTCATGAAGCTACCATTGAACCTCCTTTCGATAAAATTGTTTATGTGAACCCTACTGCTCTGGTCTTCAACTCCACAAGTTGAAAAACTCACTTTCACAATCACAATCTTCGCGATCAACCAGAAGAACACTGGTTACCATTTTGGAAGTCTTCGGTTGACGGAGTGTGGAGTGTAGGTAGAAAATATGGGATGTAAGTTGAACGTGGTGTGGGGGGTATGAGATTATTACGGAAAGTACGTGGGATGAGGATGTATGAAGATAAATTTTAATTGAAAAAAAGTAAATGTGAAGTGTTTTAATAATATGTAGAGTGTTAATAAAATAAATTTAAAATTTTTATGGGATGTATAAAGTAGGAATTGGATCCTCTCGTGAGCACAAGCTCAGAACCCTCTGACCAACATACATAGGCGGTTGGATTTTGATTAAACGGCTATAAACATAAAGTTTTTCTAAAATTATAATAATTGTAACCGTTGAATCAAAATTCAATGATTTGTATTTGTTGATCAGTAGGCTCCCGATCTTGTGCTCAGGAGAGTACCCAATTCCTATAAAGTATATGGTTGTTGTAGGCAACCAAAGGCCAAGCAGGTTTCATGTTTATAGAATGCTCAAACCCAAACCATACAAACACGTGTAACTTCCAGGCACTCAAAATACTTCACGGAATGGTTACTATTATGAATATCACGTTCCATCAATTTGTGCACAACTTTTGAACAGGTTTTGTAGAAAAAAATACAAATTAAATGATGTATTATTAATAAAAATTTAATACGTTTACTTAAGCAATAATTTAATTGTTTATTTCCTTGTCATTAAGTTTAGCAAATTTAGTTTTCTTAAGCATTACTCTTGTATAAATTAATCTAATAATACCGTGTTAATTTATTGGAAAATTAGCAATAATAGAATAATTTTGTTAGACCAACTCCAATGTTGGGCTAAAAGCCAAATTTTCCCCCAAACCCACTCCAATCCAAGGGGAAAATTGGGGCTAAATGCTAAATGCTAAACCAAGGCCAAATTTCCCCCAAAATTTAGCCCATAAATCAGAGTGGATTCCATCCAATATTTATCGGAATTTAAATTTTTTTAGATTAAAATGTTTATAAAATTAATTAACAATAGTCTACATATTTATTTATTTTTTTAAATTTAATTTAACAAAAAAAAAGCCTAAGTTCATTCTTTAATAATCCCGGTCTAAAATTTTAGGCTAGAACGGTTGGAGCAGAAAAGTTGTTTCTAGGCTAAAAGCTAAATTTTCCGGGCTAAAATATTTGGTTTTTAGCCCAACCATTGGAGATGGTCTTATGGGTGATACTATCTACACACCAATTTTACTTTCTATACATATTTTGTCAATTTATGTTCTTTAATCATTATTTATTTTTTTTGTCAACTTTAATCATTTCAATTCATTCGATTCGACGGTAATAAATTGAGAATAGTGTGTGAAATACAAAAAAAAATAAAAAAAAAGTGTGTAGATGACAAGATCCTTTCATTATTTGCTTTCTGAAATAAAAAGAAAAATATAAAATATGAATAATAGGGCAGAGGATAGAAAATGCCTAAAGCACCCTTGCTTATATAATTGTGTTTGCGAGCCAAATTGAGGTTGCTCGTTTAGCCCACTACAAACATTGTCTACGGAAAATCGTGTTGACTAGAGTTGCTCTCATCGCTCTCATCCCCAGAGCCAGTAAGCTTTTCTCCATGCAATTATTATTGCACTATAAGTGAGAGATTTTTTTTTTTATAATTTTTGTTATCTGAGTGTTTTAAACGTTTCTTTCATTAACATTATCAGTTATAAGAAGGCTAAATTAATTAAGCACGGTAAGGGAGATAAATCTGACTAGCACAATATTGAGATTCTTCCAAATCCCTGTTCTGCCAGACTCACTAGATTAATTGGAAAACTATTATCAAAGACTTTTGCTTATAGGCTTATAGCCAAGGAAAGATTTACTCAAAAGTGATTCATATAACTACCTACCCTTATCTTTCCTTGGCTATAAACAAAAGTCAGTGATACTAGTTTTCCAATTGACGTAGTGAGTCTGGCAGAAGGTGGATTTGAAAGAGGATGAGGATCCCATCCGGATTGAGGATTTTAAGGATCCATGCATTATAATCGTTTATTATATATTGTGTAGTTAGAAATTATTAAAATTTTATTATTTAAAATTAAACATAAATAAGACTTGACGAAAACAGATCGTAAAATATATTATAAATGGTTAAAATTTAAGAATTCTTAATATCTAAGGATTCTTAATATCCCCGATCTGGATGGGATCCTCATCCTCTTTCGCATTCACCTTCTGCCGGACTCACTACGTCGAAAGGAGAGCCTGTATCAATCACTTTTGTTAATAGTCAAGAAAAGATAAGGGTAGGTGGCCCCATGAATCACGACAGTAATTTAATATGCCCCATTAAACACGTTCATATTGAGGTCTGGTAGTGTTTTTGGCACCCAGCTTCCCCTCTTTGTTAGAGGTAGATAGCCTGTCCTTCTGTTTGGATACTATTTTTATTTATGCAATTACGATTAAATTATATCAACATTTTATATTTTATTATTATTTTTATAAAAAATATAAAATATTAATATGACTTAAAATAAAAAGAGATCGTACAGATAGCAAACAGGAGGGCAGACAAATTGCCTTCTTTTTTTTGTTTCACCTTTTAGTGCTTTTAGTGGTGATGTCGGCATTTTGTCCGGATGTTTATGATGATTATTGAGTTGTCTAGTTTGTATCGACATCTTCTTATTTTTACTTTTCCGGCCTTTTTAGCTTTTTTGTTCTTGTGGCCCGTTTGGGGTGTTTAATGAATATTACCTCTCTCACCAAAACGAAAGAAGTTAAGGACAATGGTGGGGTAGCCCCACGAAGCACGACATTAATTTAATATGTGTAATACTATTCTTACTATGTAATAATATCATAATTATATACTATCTTAAGTAGTATCTGATGTGAACATTTATCTCATTTAAATTAATTAATTTATTCAATTAAAATCAATTTAAAAAACTAACAATTAAATGATTAATTTTAAAAAACAATCAAAGAGAAAGGAGAAGGAAGTCGTGAAAGAGAAGGGGAAGGAAGGAGCAGACGTGAAAGCAGTCTCCTCGGAGCTCGAACCGATGGGCTGTCTGGGTTGTGCTCCTCCTCCGATCTTTGACCCTCTCGTCCTCCTCCGTTCAATTTGTGATCTGCCTGAGAAACTTCATCAGTCTCTCCCTCTCTCTCTCTCTCTCTCTCTCATATTTTTGTTCATTTAATTGCTTAGTGTTGTTTAGCTAGAAATTAAGCTATTTCGATTTAATTTCTACGTCCTTGATTGCAATGTGCGAGAATTTTGTTATTTTCACTGCATCTACTGAAATTGTTTTGTGCATAAAAATCATGAATCTTTCACTTTAAAGACTATAACTTTAATTAGCTTCTGCAATCACTACCCAAGTTCTAAAATCTGAGTACCCAAGCTTACATTCGGTCAAATTGTTCCCGAGATTCAAAGAAACAATTGGGTCTGTTGTAATATAAAAGTTGAAACAAAGTGGAATTTTGTTATGTTAGAGATTGTAGTAAGTTACAATTTTCGGATCAATTCTGAAAGTTTTGGTGTTGAATTTCAGAGGTCCAGGCAGCTAGAAAAATTATACATAAAATTTTCCATCAGTTAAAAAACCAAGTTGATTTAGATTGTGGTGGTGAAGAATTGAAAGCAGACTCCTCGTAAAACCCAAAGGAGTCGTGGAACCAAACTCCTCGTAAACTCCGGTCATAATTTAAGCAGTTTTTTTTTATTTTTTTTTATTTTTAATTATTGGTTTTTTAAACTGATTTTAATTGAATAAAAGTTCTGATTAATTGAAATGACATGAACAGACACATTAGATGTCATTTAAAGTAGTATTAATTGTGGTACAATTACATGGTAAGAATATCATTATTGATTTAATATAGCTCATTAAACTCGTTCCGCAAAAATATATTTAAGAAGAAATGCTTATATATAACCAGCCTATCATTGTGCTATTGTTAAAAGAATATTGAGTTTTCTTAAGGGACAGATTTAAAGGAATTTGGTTGCTTACATTTTGGTGGGATCTTTTACCGTTTTAAATTTTGTCTCTCTTTCTATGTCTTCACCGTTGAACTCATGCATTACTTTTCCACACCAAATAGGTCTAAAGTAATGCTAAGAAGATTGAATTTTTAAATCAAATGATTTGTCGTCAATAAAAATAAGTACGTTAATCAATACTTATTGACTAATTGTAAGAACAAATAAGTCTAATACGAGAACAAATAAGCCGTTTAGAAATTTGTGCACAAAATGTGACGACAAATAAGCCTTTTAGAAATTTGTGCACTAAATGTGAGGACAAATAAAGTCTAAAAAAAAAGTTTCGATGCACCGTGAAGCATTTTTTTCTTCCTCTTGAAAGATTTCAAACTTTCATACCTAACGTGAGAGTGTTTTTCTCCTCTGTGAGTATCTTCTCTCCGTTGTGAGAGTGTTTTCTTTTCAATCTTGGTGGTGAGAAGCTCAGTTTGCCCCGAAAGTCATTTACTTCCTCCGTTTACTACAAATTCCCACAACCCTGCTTAATCCCTAACCCCCAAATAGTGCGTTTAATTCGGTCCTGTCTTACTTCAATCAAATCCCTCCTTTTCTCACTCCTCCATTAATTTTTGTTCCTAACCCCGAGTTAATCTAAGCTTTTATTTCATCATGTACGAGCTGGTCTGTGGTGGCAGGTTTGGTGATAGATGCAGGTTTGCCAGTACAAGTAAAAGGATGTGCATTAAATTCTCCCAACAAGACATTGCAGAGGGGGGGGCGATGTAATAACTCACAACCACCCACCTACTCGGAGGTAACATTGCTTTAATCAACTATCAGAGTTATGATTATTAATGGCATACCTTATTTTGGATCTGGAAGATCTAGGAAATTTTGACATACTTTTGCCTGGGTCTTTGTGGTCCTGCTTTACGCTCAACGGATATTTGCAAAGTGTGTGGGGGCGAAAGAGACAGAAACGAAAACAGAGCAAAGGTGTAGAATTTCTACACGAAATACACGTTGCACACGGTTGGGACAGGCAGTAGTGTTGGAACCCACACGAAGAGGAGAATGGCCGGTGCTGAGGATGAGGAATTGGTGGTTCACCTTGAAAGGACGATGGATCTCTCGACTATGAATCAAGGAGTAAAGCTAGTGGGCACGACTTTGGTCAACAAAAACCTCAATAAATAGGGGGTAAGAAACATCTTAAGATCCTCTTGGAAGGACTTGGGTGAAGTGGAGGTGAAGCGCGTCAAGGACAACACCTATATTATCACTGTTCAAGAAGATACGGTTACAAGAATTCTGAACTAGGTACCTGTTGATCCTAAAAATTACAAAGTTTACGTGACGTATAGGCCGAGTAACTAATAAGCTAACTATGTCTTTCGGTTGAATGCGGAGCGTGCCAACTC